AAGTTTTCTATATCGTTCTACCTCCTATCTCTTCTCTCTCACATTTCTCGAAATATTTTCATACTTGGTTCAGTAAATGCATTCATTTTATAAATTTAACAGAAGGGTTTATACTTCTTAATTGAAGCATATGGTAATGATTTTTTCACTGTTTTCTTTTGAAACTCATCTTTTGAAATTTTAGTATATTAAATGTGAGCGAATACTTACTTTTTGTGTTTCTAAGGGTTGTCGTTTTAATGCCGCCTTCTCTACTGAATTATCTTCTCATTGTGCAGTATGCAGCAGGCATTATCGAATACTTTGTAGCACACAACTTCATCAGGTAGTTTCGCTTGTGAGTTAATCCATTACAATTTTCAAATTCTTAAAATATTCTTTACTACAACTTTCTAAATAATGGAAAACTACTTTGTACCAAGTTTAAAGATAGTTTAGACTAAATGAGCTAAGGTGAAAGGACGATGAAAGGGAAGATGATAATGGGAAAAAAAGTAGCAATATAAAGGAGTGTTCATGCAATTCATGCAATGCATACATTTTTGATCTTTTTTTTGTTTCATTTGTACAGAAATGATAATAAATGAACTTTGAAAGACCATTATATTGGTTATATGTGTTTGAAGTCGATGTTGAAAATCCTTTGAAATCTTGCTTTCCCTGCATTTTCCACCTGCTTCCCCGCATTTTTTTCTTTGATGAAATTATTTCGAAGAAGCTTTAGTTTTCTCCTGAAAGATCACATCGTACTTCCATCCAAATCTTTCAGTATCGTTTTAACGCAGCTGTAGGTTAAATAAATGTATTTTGTCAGCAAAGATGTCAAGTTTGCTGAATAGCTAATATTTTGAAAATAAAATTATCTGGATTTTTATGCTACTTGTACTAGATAATAAGCGTTACATTACTTCAGTTTTTACATCGATCCTCTTTCAATGCCTTATACATAATGCAGAATTCGGTGTGGAATTCACTCATTTTTTTCTTGTTACCCTACTAGATATTTGTTTGTATTTATCAGTAGCAGTCATACAAACAACTGAACAGTTTACATTTTGAAATTCAGGTTTTCACTTTTGAGTTGAATATTTCATACAAAATATTCATCACGATGTCAGATGGTTAAAAATTTTTAATTTATAAAACCAAGGCATTTCCGAAAGAATGAATTACTCCTTTTGTTTGTGGATAAACTACTTCTTCTTGTGGATTTAAAACTTCAAAAAAAAAAGCTTCCGATAAAAATTGTCTACGAAATCCACAATCGCCATCACATGCACTTCTAACTTCCTGGACTCTAAATCACCACTTTGCACTGTTTATTCACTTTCCCTTATTCACACCTTTTTTCTTAGAAACATTCTGAAGTCAACCTTTTGTTAAACTTAAATTAATTTGATCTTCAAAAAAATTTCTCCATTTTCTTGAAAAATTTTAAATCCTGAAAATCAGGGATATCTTTACTGGGAAATAATGAACATTTGATGGAGCACAATAATTTGGTCTTAAAATGCGTAAAAACGAAAAAGCGTAAAAATGAGCCATTCAACATTTATACCTCTTTTTTTATAACCGAAGTGTTTGTCACTCGCTTCATGGGCGTACTGGGTGGGCATTTTTCCTTCTCATCCTAAGATGTCTAATATCTTTTTATCATTTATCATAATGAAAGAAATCTTCATTTCCACAGTCGGGAAATCATTTTTCTTCCACATTATTCAAATTGCATTTGAATTTATATTTGCAACTAAGTCGAAGATATCAAATTATATTAAGTTACTGCGGACTCCAATATCATTCTGCTTTGTCATTTCGTTGGGTTGCCTAAGGTGTTCTTTGGCTTCCTTCCACATAACGCATTTTCAGCAAATGGAAGGCGTTGTTAAATAGATACACCTGCTATCAACGGTTCCTTTGATTTATGTGAAATTGCTTATCTTGTGTGGAAATGCTAATTTCATTGATTAAAGTTGGTGGCTACTCGATGAACGCATTTTGTAAGCGCTGTACTTTTTGTGGAATTTCCTCCCGAAATTTCAAAGTCGTGGACCACGTGGCACTGCCAGTAATTGTATTCCACTCTATTGTTCGGAAAGGGAAATACTCTCATCATTTCTCTTTTGTCCAGTGCTGAAAATTTTCTAAAATATTCTTTTCCTTGTTAATGGAATCAACAATTTGCCTGATTTTCATACGGCATTGCTTATCTTTTAAAATGACAACTCATGACTAACGGTTTTATTGATGAAATCGGTAAATCGATCAATTCATGGATGGCATGATGATAGAAAAGACAAAACAAACATAAAATTTCTTGCAGAAGTTAAAGTTCACCCACCTTTTATCGTCGAATCAGTTCGCTTTTATTGTGTATAATACAACGAACTAATCTTTTTTCCAAACTACTCTAATGTAGGAAATTTACATTCGATGGAAAGATGACGCAAGACCGATTATTAAAAATTGTTGTGAAAACTTGAAACGATCGGCAAAGATGAATTCATTCGTGGAACAAGAGGAAACAACGGAATCAAACAACACATTATATTGTCCATAAATTTCAATCTGTTTTTCACCTATTCTGCATCCTTTACCTCGATGTGCCGCCTGATGTACAAATATTATTCAGTAATTCTGCTATCAATAAACCAGATGTTTCTTGCTTTTTCAGAGAATAGTAAGTTTGTTTCGTATAAATTTTTATACAAGCATTCATCTTCCTGGAATTTGCTGATTTGAAGTGCAAAAAGTAGTAAATTCAGACTTGAAGGCCGGAATGATTTTGATAAAGCTCTAGATATTTACAGCAATTGAGATATTTGGTGAAAAATGATAGTTTGAAGCTGTTTTCATGCACACTGATAATATAAACTCCTATGTTAGAAAAAAAAGACTTCCTTTCTACATATATATATATATCTATCTAACAGCGGTTATGAAACTCAGCAGATTAACCGTCATCCCATGGATCAAGAGTAAATTTAATTAGTTAAAACATGTTATAAACTCATAGGATTGATCACGCCATAATTTAGGAATCTTCAAATTACCGCGATTAATACTACATGCAGATCAGTATTATCTGGTTAAGCGTAAAGCTGCTGTTATGTCGTGTCAAATAGAGCCTGGTTGGCGTGGAGCTACAATGGTCGATGTACATTGGATCAGGGACGGTGTACGCATCAGCGAACTCCAAAATGAAAATGTGCGCAACGAATTGCTTGTCGATGGTCCTACGTAATTTTTTCATCTGTGATTACATAAGCTGAGTGAAGTCAGTTTCAGAAATCGACAGAAAAATAATATAGACAATTTAAGAGCATTGTGAAGGGCGAGTTTTTTTGCTGATGTTATAGTATTTGTGGATTATTTTAAAATTGATTTCTATTTATAGCTTGAGAATACAAAATGGAAAGCATCATACCGAAGGGGATTATCAGTGTTCAGCTCTGATACGAGGCGTGCGATTGTCTAACGGAAAACATATTGACACACGTCTTGTGTCTGCTCCAGTAAAATTTCGTCGTGCCAGGATAACCAAATTTGAAAAAGTTGCGCCGGAGGTTTTATCTCCTATATTTAACCTTTTTATGGCAAAAACATCTTTAATTCCTTTCATTAGATTCATGTTGTCATTTTATTGATGATTGAAGATAAGTAAGTAATGGGACGAACTTTTTGTTCTTTAGAGTGTAGCTGTACTTCAAGGACAGATTGCCCGTTTACCATGCTTAGGAATGCCTGATGTTATTCCTGGCCCTCCAGAGATAACGTTCGAAAAAGAGGGCTATGATAAACTTTTGGGAATGCCGGGTAAATGGTTATTAAAATTTCTATTTTGTGAACAATAGAATAAAATTTCTCTCTATTGTTATTTTTATTATTAGTGTTCGAATTTCCGATCCTTGCAGATTAGAGAAAAATTGAGAAAACTATAGGAACTGATACCATGAAAAATATGGATTTTTACAGCCATAATTCATTTTGCAGGCGATGAAAGATATCTCTCAACATCATCTGGCATGCAAATACCTTTGTCAAAGTTATCAGATTCGGGCAGTTATTATTGTGTTGTCCGTAATACATTTACCAACCAAACTCGAAAATCACCGCATTTTGTTAAATTAGAGGTGAGTTTTACAGTTTTTCCTACTTCTAAACAGTGGTGTAACTGTTATATGCTTTTATTTCGAAGTATATTTCATTCGTATATACTTGCGAATCATTTCGGTTCAGTAATGTGTATAAAGTAGGAAGCAGTAAGGAATAAGGAGAGTGGTTTTCTATAAGGTCATCTCTTGAACAAACCTGAAGTAGTGCACGAGTAGCTGCATATTCGAACTTGATATGTGCATATGGATAGAATGAATTTTTTTGTGTTGCCATGATTTCATCTTATTTTTCATCATGTAGGTACTGCCAAAAAGATACAGTAGCATTGAACCTATGGTTGTTTATCCTGTAGCATCATCTTCGGTCAAAAGACCCATTATTATTGATGTTGTCAAGGGACAAACAGTGCTTCTAGAGTGTATCGTCACATCCGCAAAGATTATTTGGACAAGGGTAACCTTTCCCATACTTTTCATGTTGAGAATGAGTAGCTTTAACAATAAGAGGAAAAAAAAGGGATGATACTGGGGAATGACCCGTTTTTTGTGAAATGCTAAATTTAGATAAAAAAGAATTGTTACGATTAGAATTCCATGTTTGACATTTTTTGAATCAATCTATAGCTATATCCTGGAGAAACAGAAATATCAGTGAGTAGCGAGAAAACACGATTGCATCAAATCTGGGGCAATTTACAAATTCAACAAGTAAATGAAGCAGATACTGGTATTTACATTTGTGAAAGTATGGCGCTGTTTTCTCATGCTACGGTTGAATTTCCTAAAGTTTATTACAACTTACGAGTGCATGCACCAACCGATGTACAGCTTATGTTGGGTCAACTTGCTGCAGATAAGAGCTGGAAGGTGAAAAAGATTTTTTCTTTTATCGTTATCAAACGTTTTGTTTTCATCCATTATTCTTCTGAAATTTGCTGTAATATTGAGAAAGGTCTTAATCAAAAGTGATTCTGGATTAAGTCATTTCACTCAAGATTCATTGTTTATACTTCAAATTAGGTTTGATTGTTTTCTAGAACAATTACATTTATATGTTTTGCTACTTTGGATATAGCATTCATAAGCTATTTTTAGATACTCATCGGGATTTTGAGCCAAAATTACTTCTTCATTCCAAAATTTTCTAATTTCAGCTAAGCTGCTTGGCGCTAAATTTGCATTATGAGATTCCGATGGTGTATATGAATGGGATTGCATTGATTGATGCAATGGATAAGCTTGGTGTTCCACCACATACTAATTTTTTCACAAATCCGATAAATGCCACATTGACTTCTAATGTTGCATTATCAGGCAGTGTACAGGTTCGTTCATACTTTCGCGAGATCTGTTAGGACATTCTGTTTGCAGCCTCATATTCAGTAACAAAACGCTTCAGCTACCATATTACAGTGTATTTCACGCCCAGCGATGGATGAAGCAGAAGTATACGGGAATGGGTTGGAACGAGGTCGAGCAATGAATCTGTATGTTGATAATCGAGTCAATCAGCAGATTAATTTAATTTTACAAGGACCAGAAAATTCTACCAAAATAGTTGGTGAAACAGCGCAAATGGTTTGCTTAGTGGTACCGCGAACGACCAAGACCGTTTGGACCAAAGGTTTGTTGAATTCCAAGTATTTATAACAACTGAGATCAAATACTTTTATAAATCAAAATTAATTTCTGTAAAGATTTACATCTTAAAATTGAGAGGAATAAATGAAAGAGATCCTTTTTCTTCAAATTCAAACGAATTAATGTCTTTGATATTTGCTCATCTTCGCTTTCCACATCTCGTTTTTTTCTTTTTTTTTCGTATTTTTTCAAATTTATCAAATTCAGATGGTAAACGTATGGCAATAATTGGGAAAAAACGTATCCGCTTGGTTGGGACAGCAAGTTTGCAAATTTCCGATGTACAACTGGAAGATGAAGGATGGTACACTTGTGAAGTAACAGACAACACAAATCACATGACACGTTCCAGTTCCTACCTAAAAATTATTCGTAAATCATTGTTTAAATTAATGAGAGCTTTACTTTAGTTGAAATCCTACTCCTTTTTAGATTCATAAAATCTATTGAATTCTCAAAATTAAAAAAAATTTCAGCGAAAGAAGTGCTTTTACATGATGAGAAAGACAGTGAGGCGGAAAATCATAATATAAAGAATATCCTATCTGAGAACGCTGCTGCTGTGCAGTATCAAGAAGGGGTTTAGTTTGTTTAAATTGCAACTTAAAGTACTTAAATGTTCAAAAAACGAATTTCAGTACAAAAATACATTGCTGCTTAAAGTGCTTGAGTTTTTTCCTGACATTGTATTACGAACATCAGGCAATTTCAGTGTACTCATATGTTATGCAGTAATGGGAACTCATAATTTCTGTTCGGTCTTTTCCTATGTACCTTTTTGGTTTAAGGTTTAAGCTTCTTGATTTTCAAATAAATTGCTTTTGCTTCCCTTGATTTCAAATGAAAAATTAAACTACAAGTTTTTAAGGACGAGAAAGAACTATGGTCGAAAACGGGTGGATTGAAAGAACTTCCAATGAATATGCCACGAGCGTTCATTTACGGAAGAAATGTGCGAGTGCTGTGGTCACTGCCCATGAATTATTCATTTCTAAACAAAATTACCTCATTTCAAATTGAATTCCGAGCTGAAAGTAATGACAAAAAATGGGTTGTGGGTAGTGAGGTAGATGGACATGTGCGTGCTGTTACTATCAAAGAATTGCTTCTCGGAAATAGGTTAGATATTTTTTCGTTTTTTTTCCCCGGAATTTAGAAAAAGCAGAGAAGACTTCAGTTAGGTGTAAATTATTTCGCTAACCATTGATCTGTAACAGTCTCAAACATGAGGGGAAATAACGTTGAAAATTTTGAAGGTCACTACTACGGGACATTGAGGTCTTGAAACTTGTTAATTGACTCCTTGGCTTCTGATTTTTATCATACAAAGAAAATCATTTTTATTGTTGAAATGATGATAGTCATACAGTCTAATAAGTTGAATTTATAAACCGTTGAATATGCAACACAAATTTGCAGCAAAGTTTGTAAATTATGAAAAATTTACATTTCAGATACCAATTCCGGGTTTTAGCGAAAATGTTGGATCAGAGTGTTATATCAGGTCCACCTACGGATTGGCTTAAGATTGAACAAGAACCCGGAAGTGATGACGAAATCAGTGCACAACTTAATATCACTTTCTTTTTTCCAGTTTCGGATACCGTTCTTCAACTGCATTGGAATTATACCGCTCCGAACTCTTTAAGATCTCCCGAAACTTTTTTCGTTTCATATGCTAATGTCACTGATAAGGAGTACACCCATACGGTAACTTCACATTAGATTAAATACGAAGTCTCAAAAGTTTTAAACAGTTGAAATAGTTCCGAATCATGCGACACATATCACTATTAATATTAATCATCACAAATTTTCTGAGGTTAAAGTGCAGTGTTTCAGATACAGTTGAACAGTTCATTTTCGATGACTAATTTAAGTAATTTAATACCTTCTACGGAATATCGAGCTATTGTCGAAGTTGAATTTGCTGACAGAACGAGCCAACGAAGTGAACCGTCTGTGGCACGCACTTTAGGTTCATTTTTGTCCAGTTTAACGAATTCTTTGTCCTGACTTTGTAAAATTTATTTAATTTCCCGTAATTTTGACTCGCTTCCTAATTCTTGTATTTTCTCCTATTTATACAGACAAAAGGTCACAGAACTCGACAACCAATTGTTCCGCAAGTCTTCTGGCATTATTCAATCACCGTTTCTCATACATGACATCAAATTGGAACACTGAAAGCATCACTTTTCTCATTGCCTCACTCCTTTCATCAACAGTTTTCATCATTTTCGGCTTATTCTTATACAATCTCAGGCAACAACATGCAAAAAAATTTGGTAGAGGCATGTTGCTTTTCAGATAATTTTGCTTCAAAAAAAGTGATGACTGCATGATTATGTGAAGTTCCTTTCAGATTAGATGATGACCTTCTCTTCAGGTAAATAATGATTTAATATTTTATTGCCATCGAAAAATCCTTTTTTTTCAAAAAAGTAATCTTTTATTTCAAGCTGCCCGCGGTAAATTCATGGACACATCACATCGCATATTCAACGAACAACGGGTACAAAAATCTCATCTTTATTACGAACCAACTATAGCAATGTCGGTCATGAGTGATATGAATGAATTTACTCCTCTTAAGATGAAGGTGAAAAACAAAATTTTTCGACTAATTTTCTTTTGTTAAGCAAAGCAGAAAATCAAATTTCTAGGCTCATTTTGAACAATAGGAAGATAATAATTAGATCGGGCAACAGCATGTTTTAGATTAAAGAGCTGAAGTTCCCATAGGAAAACTATCCTTAATGTAATAATTATTCGCAGGAAGCTTTGTCTGTTGTATATGAGATATTTGTGTTACTTTACTAAGAACTAAAAGCATTCATTTTCAATTAAAGAAAAAATGGAAAAGACTAGAGATTGTTTGTTTTTCAGTGTAGTGAGAATCGATCACCTTCTGTTGCGTCTTTGAAGAGTTTTCCACTCAGCAAAGATTACGATATCATGTCGAACCTATATGGTAAAGAAGACAACTTTTTGGAGGAGAGGAACGCTCTTACTTCATTCAAAGGTTTAGTGAAACTCTGTTTAAAATATTTTGCGCCCTATGTCAGGCTCAATTGATTTGGTGCCGATGGGCGACGGTGAGTGGCTGTATTATTTGATTTTTATTCCATTTCATTGTGTAAGTCATGTGCAGAATATTATCTGTTCAGAGAGATCGTGGACCAGTGGGAAAATATATGAAAATCTCATCTCAGAAGTTAATGACATTCAGAGGCCAGTGCAAAGAGCCTTACAAATCAATGATAACCATAAGGAATCTTTTTGGTTAAAAGGTTATTCCTATTTTCATCATTGCTTTTGAGAAACATCATACCATTTAGTTCCAAGATAGAAGTCTGTCGGTCCACAAATCATTAGTAATGCTAATTTGATTTGCTGTTGAAATAACTTATTTCTGAAATTCCAGCTACCGTTCCAGCTAACCTTTACAGGAATTAACGACCAGATAAAACCGCCAAATCACATTACAGTTATGCCTCCTGGAATACAATTGTTATCGTCGAAAGGGTAAATGGAGTTCTCTTCCGTAATTTGAAAATGTTTTTGACATGGTATAATATCATCTAAAGTAATTAATTCTTACTCTTCCTGAAATAATTCTTTGATTTCTAAAATAGGGAATATTAGTATCTCTGTTTCTAAGCATTTTGCTAATAAGTAGCAATATTTAGAGCACTGTATTTCTAGTTAATAGAAACGAAAGAGGACTACTAACACCTGTGAACTAGCTTCAGGGTAAAATATTTAAAAAAGTCATTGAAAACATTTAATACTGTTTGTAAGCTTTAACTCATTTTCTTTAGCGCAGAAAAAAACAGCACACAGTACTCAGCATTGTCAGTTCCGCTGACAACAAATGGAACAGTTGATGACTTCTCTAAAAACAGTCAAATATCCTCTTTGACAGATGGTTGTTACTTACACACATTTAAATCCCAAGCATCAAATACAGGTTTCATGTGTACTACATTTAATAAGTGGGAAACAAAGACAAACCATCATTTGTCATCTCATGAAGCGAGATTCACCATTAGTGATAAAAACCTTTGAACTTCACTTTTTGAGAGCTGAAACTACTGGCTAAATTTCTCGATTTTCATTCATGTCAATCGTGGGTTTAGTAAAATGCGTTTTTATTGAATGAAATGATATGAGATGAAAAGGTGATTTAAACTACCTATCAGTGTAACTTCATTTTGTCTCATGTCTAGATTTCAAGAGTGGACTAACAGATCGATTGGTTTTTCTATGGGAGGGGGAATTAAAACACAACAGCAGGGGATGATACCTTTCCCTCCTTAGGGCTTTCATTTATAATATCTCCGTGGAGAGATCATGTTGCAGTAAACAAGTTCGGGTAACAATGCAATAAAAAGTTCGCAATTTATATAAATTTGTCGTATTGCTATATATCTTCTTTTATTGCTCATCCTAATAAAGCTACAGAAGTGAAACTACATAGAGTTTCAAGTGGTATGATTGCACCCATCTCCAAATCTTTTGGGAAATGCCTTACGCAAATCCACTTCGTCTCGTTCCTTCTTTAGAGTTTTTCAACTTTATGCAAATTTCTAAACTCTCCAGCTGAAAAAAAAGACATCCCACCAATTTGCCCAGAACATACAAGAACTACTGACAGTTCGAAAACTTCAGTCCTAATCCCATAGTATTTGAATATGAAAAGTAAGCATTTAAAAATCAAGAAGTCACTCTGCTGAACCGAACCCATAATGATTCTCCCATTAACCATTCGCAGCTGAACGTCCCTGCAAGCTATGCATCGCACATTAAATCGTCAGGCAATGCGCGATATGAAGTTCCACTTTCCGGACGAAATCGGAATTGGAGGGACTTCAGCGCTACTGGCAGTCCGAGAAAAGTACTGGAAAAAAAGACGCCCCAGTAAGGCAGTACCTGTCCTTCCATAACAGATCTAACTGTACAGAATTACAATATATAATGCACCTGTAAGAAATGATTCTCATTTCCAACAGAAGATTTTAATATGGGTCAAATTACTAACAGCATTCTATCGAAAGACGTCATACATCCATGAAAAATAATCACACATTCATGAAAAATAAAGGGTAACAGTTCCCAATACGTGGACAAAAACTTTATGAACTAACAAAGTCAAATGTCACGAGTGTTTTGCTTTCGCTAAAATTTCAAGTTTGCATATGAAAGTTCGAGTGTTTTAGAGTTCCCGCTACAAATGCACAAATATACTCAAAAAGTAGTGGAAGATGGATGAAACAATGGGAATTCAAAATGACTAAATTACTGAGTGCAGGAAGCATTTGAAAAGAAAACTGAAAGCACAACTTCTATGATTGTAATTAGCAAATTTCTATGACAATTTCGAACCGGCAGCACATTACTCAACTGCCTACTACAAGCGACATCAAATAAAGATAACAGCAGTTGGTCCTTCCCACCAAAGAGTATATCCATTACATTTATTCAATTTCAATCCATTTACCATCCAAATAATACGCTGTAATTAATTGTTTCAAAAGATTTTTTAGGATTCAGTCAGCATTTTGAATCAGTTGAGATGGACGACAACAAAAGTTCTTGTTTCTGCTGCCACCAATCAGTAAATATTTTTACGCAAAATCGTTACAATAAACTAGTACAGCCATAACTATTCTAATATTCTACACGGTAACTTTCTTAAGCTGATTTGCCACCAATCCGTCCCACTTTTGAAGCACTATCTTCAGAAGCTGTAACCGCATTCTGTACCTAAAAACATCAATTCTGTATTATAAATATGCCGCTAAATTCCATTACTCTAGACTTAAATGAAGTAATAGGAAAGAGCAGCATTAAAAATGTTATAATTTAGTCTTAAGTAGTAAGGAGAAATGTTTTACGTCATGACGACAAAAATGAGGTCCGCCATCAGAAATTTTCAACATCTACCGCAAGAAAGTTTGAAAGTCTAGAAACTAAAAAAACAATCCAAGTTCCAAACAGCAGTGTAATAAATCCAATAATCAAGGTCATAAAAAATATTACCTCACAGTCATCGCGAATTATTTTTGGGAAATGCGCTTTGATCCAATCTTCTGAAGAAATCGCAGTTTTTTTTTTTTTTTTTAAGTTTTAGTTTCATTGCTAACGAAAATGGAGTCAAATCAAAATGAGTATGTATATAAAACCCTGAAAATTTTATTTCAAAACGTTAGATAAGGACTTACTCCACAGCAGAAAGCCCAAATCACTCTTTGCATGAGGTGAGCCAAACGTCGAATGATAAATCCATTGTTGCCCGTTACAATCCACATCAACAACAATGTTGTCCTTAATGAAATCTTCTGCCTCTTTTGCATCCATCACAAACTGCACATATTCCGTAAGAGGATACGGTGGACAGCGTATGTAGCGATAAATGCGTGATGGACGACCTGTATCTACTCGTCCTAAATCATGAAACACTCTAGTAAGCTAGTTTTCCCAATTTCATATGTACTAAAGTTATTGGAACCTTTCCAAAAGGTAGCATTATGTTGCAGTTCTATTCATTATGGAAAAAAAGACCAAAAAATGAATAGATTGAAATTTTTTTTAACATTTGGGATAGTACAGTGGAACAATAAACTAGCGAAACTAACCAACAACAGGACGTGGAGGTAATACAAGTGCATAAAAATTTCCATTGGTATAGCCAAGTAACAAAGGTGGGCATAATCTGTAATTGTTCAGACCAGGTAGTTGTGGGTAAAACCCTTCAACCGGATGTTTCCAACCACCAGGACGTCCATCTCGAGCGGGGAATGGGTTTAATTTTGACGATTCAATAGGGAATACAATGATTGGACGATTTAATACCTGTGCCAAAACGAGTATGTGAATCTGAAATATTATTATGACATAGACGGCTGAATTAAACAAGTGTAACCAAAACCTAGAAATATTTTCAATTCTGTCATAAAAAAAAAAAGGAAAATTGCAAACACCTGTTCTAATGGGAATCCAGGGTCACTACATTCAACGATATTTGACCAGTGACGTTGCATCATCCAAATATCAAAATTTAGTCCCAGTTTCATCAAAGAAGTTGCCCATCGACCTCGAAAGCTAAAAAAACTTGCAAGAAGAATGAAGAGCTGTTTTATACCCATATTTCAATTCAAAAAATAAGCGCAATTCTTGATAAAATTAGAATTAGTCAACAAAATAAAAATGTGATAGAAAAACCACGAGGAAAATTCAATTTAAATAGACTTACTTAGTTTCCATTGCATATAGTGTGTGGTACAGTGCATCACGAAGTGTATTACTTTTGTCAATTACACCCCACAATGCCTGGAAAGGAATAACTCTAAACTTTTAAGAAGCTTGCAAAGTAATATCAGTGAGTATCTCAGGTTAAAATAATTCTCTATATCAATCTATTATCAGTTTGCCACAACAGATATCTCAACTTCATGACTGGACAAAATTATAAATTGTAATTAAATAAATAAATAAATGAATAAATAAATAAGTATATATATACATATATATGTATATATATAAACCTGTGAAACTGCATCCACAAGACTGTGCCCCCCTCCACGATTTCGCAATAATACTGGTGCATAAGTCTGACAGCCTGTTAATCCTGCCAGAGAGTGTGCATCCATGCAACACACCGTATCAAGAACTTCTAAAATATGTATATTGTGAGATAAAATATACCAAAATTTCTTAGATAATTTTTGGTTTTCATTTTCCAACTTCGAAGTAGTTGGTAGTAAAAACTAAAAAAATTCTCACGTGTGCATTATAGTAGACTCGTTTACAGTAAACAACCATAATATTTAAAATCTTACGACGATCGTCGAGATCCATGAGGACGCGTAGATTATTTTCACCGGAAACTACCCATGGTCGCAAATCATAAATCGCTGAAAAATCTTTGGTAAAACTTCTTTATATTTAGATAAACCAACTTACTAAGAATTTAACCAGACCACCTAAAATAAAGACAACTACCTACTGTTGCGAATGCAACCCTACCATAGTAGTTCAGTGTTATGAAGGTGTTCCTTCCCGAAAATAGCCATAACATTTCAAGGGTCAACCTTCTCCTCCAACAAAATAGCATGGTTGTACAGCAATATATCAGCAAAAAATAGTGGCTACATATTCATAAAAGATTAAAAATCACCATTTGGTAGAGTGAACAAGGCATTATTGTTGGCGACACGCGTCATATCATAATCTTCGTACATACTTTCGCGTATTTTCTTGTGAATTTCGTCAGAACAGTCATCATTTGCTACCAAAAAAAAAAAAAAAAAAAAAAAAAAAAAAGAAAAAAGAAAAAAATGATAATAATAATGTGATAATTTTAAAAATGTGACAACTATAGTGCAGTTCTTCACTTTTTTTGAAAGTAAGAGGAGCATTCACACCCGCAACCCAGAGAGCAACAACTGTCAGGAACAAAAGAATCCATAAAAGAGATAAGCTGGAAAAAAAACTTGCACAACATGAGCCAATCTATGATTACCAAAAAAAAAAAAAATGAAACTCTTAGCACAAACGATGTAGGTGACATGATCTACTTATAAAAGCAAATGTTTGGTTTTTCGGGCACGAACAAAATTGATACATACCTAATCCTGGGATTGCAACTGTGCAAGATAAGGAATCTATGAAAAATCTTGGAACACTTGCTAAAATTCTGCTGTTCTTGTTTCGAATGATATCAATAATTGAACGATTGACAACTGTTAATGCATTCTCTTCGTCAACATCGTTCAACAACATAGCCTGAAAATGCTATGATTATGACAAATTGAAAGAGTCGGAAGTTGCAATTACTACGGTAAACCGAAAAGAATAATGTAGCACAAATGGTAAGAACCAAGTACAGAACTCTGTTTGCAGCAAAAAGTTTCCGCAAGTGAAAAAAGAAAATTCTCACGAACCTCAACTTGGACACTTCATAAGGTAAAGACCGGGTAGTAACACGCGAGAAGTAATACACCTCAGAAACTTTGAGAGTTTCAGTTAGTGCAAAATAACACAGTCACATACTGGCTATGGAAATCTCATGCGACTCGAACAATGGATGTAGAAGCGCATTATGATAGGAACTGTTTCATAAGCATTGGTTTGTTCTGTTTATAGTCGTATCATACCGGGAAGGAACGTTTCCGATAAACCAAGAATCCTGGTGATGGTGATTTTGCTGATAAACAGCACAAGACGTAAGATTAAGAATCCGTTATTCAGTTTTGCCCGAATAGTAGATATGCAACAGAAATAACACGGAAAGCACTATACTGTGTTGGAGAATATAAAAAATTAACCTCAAAGCCACTGATTCTTCGATTGCCTTCGCCATAATGATAAATGTAATGAATGAGCTTGGCTTCAGCATCACTGCTTTCTCGAAGAATTTCAGCACATGTTTCCAGAAATGATGCACAACCCGTATCAACCTATAGTTTCTTTCAAAGAATACGCAAATAAAAACAGTCAGTCAAAAAAGAGATATACCATAAAACTGTGAGTTTGGTAACTTACTGATTTATTTAGATGAGAAAGGTAGATATCGAGAAGGGTAATCCGTTTATTTAAATTTACATTAGCTGCTTTTCCAATTCCATGATGGTCTTCACTTCCTCCCTCAGCAAAATCTAAAATACCGACATTCACGGAAATTATAATGGCTCTTAACAAGAGATGACATGAATTCTACTTCTTCAGTAAACTTGATAGAACGCATTATCGTGTGCAAAGCTCGAATATCATATCATCGGAAAATTATGCACAGAAACTTCAAATAAAATCTGTGCTAAAGATTGTGACCTGCGATAATTTGTAGCGTACTTCCACAAACATTGTGTAGAAGGTACCTATACTAAAAAGGGAAAAACAGTAATTTTCAATTATAAACCTTTCACAGTTTTTTCCGCATGTTTTGAAAGGTCATAAGTTTCTTCCTTGTTAGAAGGACGGCATGCTGCAATATCGCCTTCTCCTTAAAAAAAGGATTCCAACTATTTCATATGTGGAAGCATAATTATGTTCAGGAGATTATTTCTGTTTTCAGTTTTCCTAATTTTACTTGATGCAGAACCTAAAAATTACGTAAAAGACAAAACGTGACGGCAATTAATTTGACTCAGTACAGCTGCATCTTTAGGGAAGCACCATAATATTTCAAAACTGCTATAAATATAACTTTAACAAAGCAAACCACGAAAATCCTGATCAATGATGTCGTTACCAATCCCCACAGAAACATAATCTTTTGGTGTACCACACATCGTGCAGTGCTTAACGTTAGGCCAATTTTTGTAAGTACATTGCGAGCAATCCCACTTATGCAGTGCTTTTCCTAACTTCTCAACTTGTTCGAGATCGATTGAGCATTCATCTGACATACAGAAAAATTTGAAGCTAGATATAATGAATATTAATATGAGAATATTTCAATAGGAACCCCTTCTACCGTTGAAAAAAAAAAAAGAAAAAGAACTCACAGACCGGACCGACATAATATATTATTAGGACCGATCAATTAAGCACAC